TTTGCCTGGGGCCCTCCAGAAGAAGCAGCAGGCAGAAACTTACCAAGACAGCAAACTCTTTGGGGGCACTGCTGACTTCACCAGAGGGAGAGACTGCCTTGGAGATGTGCCAGATGGTGAAAGCCGTGGGCTGGATTTTCTCCGGCAGCTGGATGACCACGTGGCCCCAAGATCCTTGGAAAGCCCAACAGTTGCCAGGAGAAATATCAGGCTGAAATGAAAGACATGTCTGTCAGTGGTGAGCAAAGAGCTGCCAGAGCTGGCTGCTGGGCAAGAGCTTGCCTTCTCTGTGGGCTGCTGTTCTCTTTGTAATGGAATGCTAGTCAAGGGACAGGAGGGGAATATGCAAAGGTTTGGACAACAGCTCTGGAGTCAGTCGCCTTTCTCTGCTTGCCCAGAGCCAGCAGGGCAGCCCTCCCAGCATTTGTCATCCCATCACCTTCCCAACACTGCTGTCAGTAATGTGGGGAAGAGTGTGGGCTGAGCAGTACAGCTGGGCCAAAGGAAATTGCTGCACACTTGCTCCTGCAGCCAGAAGGCAAGGCAGTGAACCCACAGTCACCATTTCTCCTTCCATACCTGCAAGAGTGTCTCAGGAGGCTTTGCGGTGGAAAAGAGTGGAGAAAGCCAGTGGTTCTTCCAGCCTTTCCCACCATAACTCTTGGATGTCCTCTCTGCATCAACAGTGGCACCTGAAATAAAGATGAAGAGATGTGTACTAGGACAGCCCAGAGATGAGCTGAAAGAGAAGGAGTGAGTGCTTGTTCCCTGAAGTTCTTGGCAGGGCCCTGGGGTGCAAAATCCCTCCCACTGTTGAACTGTTGAGTTCCAGCCTGAGCCACTGATTGAGCACCTGGGAAAGGAGCCAGTCAGCCCTAGGAGCATGGGTGAAGGCTTTTTAAATTCTCAGAGGGGAGATTTAGATGGGATGTCAGGAGTGGGCAGTGGGGCCCTGCAATGTGCCACCCAGAGAAGCCATGGATGCCCCATTCCTGGAGGCGCTGGAGACCAGGTTGGATGGGGCCCTGAGCACCCTGATGGAAATGGTGGCAGCCTTGTCAACGGCAGGGAGTTGGACTGCAATGGTCTGTAAGGTCCCTTCAGACCGCAGCCATTCTAAAGCTCTATGAGATAACTCTGACAGAAAGCAGAGCTTGGCAGGTTTTGGGGAGAGCTAGACACAAAGCTGAGGGTAGTGAAGGTGTCTGTCTACATACCCATGGTTTCCAGAGCCCAGTTGGGCATCCAGACGCCATTTTCCATGATTTTCTGAATGGCGTGCTGTGTCAACTGCAGAATTTCCTGCAGGCAACAAATAGGGAATGGAGAGACAGCAGTGAGCAGAAACACAGGAGAAGATCAGTGTGAGCAGGGAGTCCTATCCAAGAGCTAGGGGAAAGCTCCATGTCTTTCCAGAAATCTGGCAGGATCTTACAGAAAGTGTGCCCCGATGAGCCACTGGACTCCAGAGACACAGCAAAAATTGACTTTGGGCTCTGCCTGACCCCCTTGCTGCCAGCCTTGTGCCATCTCCCAAACAGCCTGGACAGGCAATCAGATCATGCCCTGAGCCAGCCAGGCCCTGCAGTGCTGCAGTTGCAGCTGGCCTGGAGAACAGCCCTTCCAGCTAAGAAGCCTGCCCTGCAAGTCTCTTGGAAGGGATGATGTCCGGCCTCCAAGCAAGCTCAGCAGGTGCCCGGCTGGGGGCCAACCCAGGGGGAATTCACAGCACTGCACAGAACACCCTCATCCCAGATGCACTGTGCAGCTAGCACCAGCAGCAGCTCTCAGTGAGGGGAGCAGTGCGGCTCCAAGACACAGGAGAGGCTGAGCCTGAGAGCCAAGTGTGGGGCAGGCAGCCAGAGCACAGAGCTGTCTCTGGAAAGGGCTGAGAGGAAACAGGAGGGAGCAGCACCATTACCTCTCTCTTCAGTCCATGGATCCCATTCTCTTGGAGGACATCAAACACTGATTGGAGAATGAGGTCCTTCCTGGCCAACAGCTGTGTGGTTTTCACATTCAGCTCCTGCCTCTTCCCCTCCAGCCAAACTGGTGAGCTCCTGAAGGCAAAGGCACAGCGAGTCTTCAGCACTGTCCACCCCACAGGTCAGAGCTCCAGTGCCATGAGGTGAAGGATTCTGGGGGGTTGTGCCCTTCCTTATCTCCCAGCCCCTTTCGTTCCTTCGCTTTGCCAAGGGCTGCCTTCCACCATTGAGGCAAAGGCATGCAAAGAGCACACAGGCCACGCTACAGAGCCAAGTGCAGGGCAAGGAAGTGTTCTTACCCCAGAGACAGGAGCCCATGCACAACAGGTCCTGCTGATGCCATCTGGAAGAGAAAGGCATTCAGTGGGAGGAAGCACAAGGAGCACGGCCAGGGCTTCCAAAGGAGCTTCCCTGGCCGAATTTCCTGCTGCTTCCCAGCAGTTTGCAGAGGACTACTGCCCAAAGTCAGGCTCTTAAGCCCTCCCCGTGCTGCAGAGCATCTGCTGCTTCTCTGCTTTCCCATCCCCTCCAGACTCCCCAATGCCACGGATGGGCCAAAGGCCCCTTCTTCCCATGTGCTGCCGCCTTCAGCCCAAGCTCCGAGGTGGGCACTGGAAGATGCATCCACACCGAAGCCCATCCTGCTGCCAAGGCGATTCCCCAGCCCGGCTCAAGGGCCCACCCTCCGTTTCAACAGTGAGGAGCCCATGGCCAAACTCCCCCTGTTCCCACAGAAGCAGAAAAGCAGAGCTTTGGCCTCTGCCACACACCATGCACTGACCTGCGGGACGTCATTTCTCCAAGCCAATATCCAGAGGAAGGCTCCAGCTGTG